CGAGATGGCTGTTTGGTATTTTGAATATGTCAATTTTAATTCAACTGGATTGAGACCAATGGGTATCACGTTGTGGGCTGTCACCTTTACCACTGTGAAGAAGACTCTATCCCGCCTTCTTCTTTTGGTTGTCTCAATGGGTTTTGGTGTAGTTAGGCCAACCCTTGGTGGCATAACATCAAAAGTGCTTCTTCTTGGTTTGGTATATTTTATTGCTTCTGAGGCGCTTGAGCTCATTGAACATCTGGGAAACATCAATGACTTTTCCAAGAAAACGAAGGTGTTTGTGGTGCTTCCAGTTGTTTTCCTGGATTCCTGCTTTATTCTCTGGATTTTCTCATCGCTTTCAAAAACTTTAGAGAAGCTTCAGGTGATTATCTTCTTCTACCTCTCCTTCCAAATTTATAAACTGTGCATGTATCCACTGATGATGTCCCGTTAAAAAATAAAAACCTATGAGTTCGTGTATTTGGATGGGTGCATGCACATCTTGGCTGTCTTTATTGAGTGTGGATCTGTGGAAAATGGTCCGGGGGTGCTGTCTTTCTGCTCTTGAATTGCTATCGGTAGTACCTTCTTATTGCACTTTTGAAATGATTCTTTCTTTCTCTACTTTTTTCCTTTGTTTTGTGGATGAAGATGAGGAGAAACATGGCTAAGTTAGAACTGTACCGGAAGTTTACCAATGCCCTTGCAGTGTCTGTACTGCTTTCCATTGCCTGGATTGGTTTTGAGGTAATGTTTATTTTCTTGTTCTACCCACTAAATTATCCCTTTGTTGATCTTCACCAGAAGATGAAATATGATAATTATATTATTTGCTGGTGTATTTATTAAAGAATACCCATTCTTCTCTGGCTTATGTTTGCTCAGCTATACTTCAATGCTACTGATCCACTAAGTGAGCTGTGGCAAGTTGCTTGGATCATCCCTGCTTTCTGGACTTTGCTCGCATACTCACTCTTGGTGGTCATATGTGTGCTCTGGGCTCCTTCACATAACCCGACTAGGTACTTGCTCTGACATCACCTTCACTTTTGTTGTTTTCTACTTTTGAGACTTGATGTTGTGAATATGTGGGCTCACTTGGCCTTTTGCAATTCAAGCAGGGCCTTGTTCTTTTTCTTGTTGTTAGGGATATTGGTATTGCTGCTATTATTCTGAATTTGAATCCTTGCTGCTTCATGAACTTGACACTGGTATTTTTGTAGATTGGAGTTGTAATAAATTCATAAGCATATCATTTTGGGAAGTTGATGCTAATTCTGATATTTGTTTTTGTTGTTATCTGCTTAACTGTTAATCTCTGCATACTCAATGCAATATTGTTTTTCATTTTTTACTTCTTGCTTACTTTATCACTCCATTTATACAGTTTTTTCACAGCAAAGAAGTCTAAAATAAGATTTATGTATTTTATGGGTAGTAGAACTGTGGAAGGCTCATAATTTTCATAAATCTAGACAGAAGATGAATTCAATAATTAGAGGGGGTCTGTCGAAGCCTTTAATTTTCATAAATCTAGACTGAAAGTGTACAGTGAGTCTGCTGTTGCATGAGATGCTATGTTAAGATAGTACTGCTATCTAAGTTCTGGAGTTAAGTTATGGGAAGTTCTGGCTTCAAGAGGCAATCATGGGCAGTATGTTCTCCTTTAAGAAAACGATGGTACTGTATCCTACACCAAAAAACTGTTGGTGTATAGAAACTGAAATAGTGGAAATCCTTTGCCCAGAAGAAATAGAACTTTTTTTTTGTTGCTCTCGAGTAAATGTTAAATCTCTGCATACTTCTTGCCCTTTTTGTAATTAATTTTTTTTTTCTTCTTTCTCACTTTATCTCTACATTTATACAGTTTTCATAATAAAGAAGACTAAAGTTAGATTCATGTGTTTTATGGGTGGTAGAAGGCTTTTAATTTTCATAAATATAGACAGAAGATGAATTCAATGATTAGATTGAGTCTTTGGAAGCCTTGTGATTTTCACAGACCTAGACAGAATATGAATTCAACAACAAGGTAAGTCTGCAGTTGCTTGAGATACCATGCCAGGATAGTTCTCGGTAAGTCTGCAGTTGCTTGAGATACCATGCCAGGATAGTTCTCCTATCTAATTTTTGGGACGTTCTGGCTTCAAGAGGTAATCATGGGCAGTATATTCTCCTTTTGGAAAATGAAACTAAGACCCCTGCACTAAAATATGTTGATAAGTCTGTGATATAGAAATCAAAATAGCAGAAATCCCATGCGCCCCCCAAAAAATAAATAAATAAATTACCAGCAAGCATTTTTTTTTTTTTTGCCCTTTCGTGGATTTTTTACAAGGATGTTTACTGTTATGCATTGCCTGTATTTTTGTCATTTGAACTGAAATAGTAAAATCTAATCATATTAATAGTAAAATCGAACATGCTGCTGCTAATCGGGCTTGCTCCTGCAGATATGCATATTCAGAGGGGGAGGACCTTGACGAGGAGGGTATATCATTGACAACCGGTGATATTGCTAATAAGCTGGAAAGGAATGCACTTGTTGAAGATCTTGAGGAGGATAAGCGAGAATAGATGAGCATTACCCCCACAAAGGTGAATCAGATCCGCACTCAAGTTGCATATCCAGGAATTTGTCTGAGTCTTTATATGCAATTTGTGTTATGTACAAAGCACCGGTGCATGAAATACAGAGATAGAAGAGTTCGACATGAGTTAGATTTTAGGCAATGAAACAAAGACAAATCGAGATGCTCGGGTTCTTGTATTATTTGTTATCTGCATTGAATTTATAACTGCTTTGAGAAATCCCCATATTGTGCCCATATCATCCTCAAAGCAAGAAATCTCTTATCCCTAACCCGGGCTCTCAGAGGAGATACATTCAGTACTAATTTTTATATGTTTTTTTAACGCATGAAATCGATGAAAATGATATGCACTTTTAAAATTATCGGAAAAAGAAATTTAGTTTCAACTGACATGTAAATTAGTCCAAAAATCATCTTCAATATTGAATAAAAAATTAAAAATCCCCTCTGGATAATTACACTAGTTGCAATTTCAGAGGAAATTTGGGAGTGCGTTTGAAATGTTTTTTATTTAATATGATTTTCTTGTTTAAAATTATTTTTTTATTAATTTTATATGTTGATATTAAAAATAATTTTTTAAAAATAAAAAATATTATTTTAATATATAAAAATAAAAATATTTTAAAAAACAATTATTATACATTTCCAATACTTTTTTAATTGCCTCCCATACAGTATGAGCTATAATTTTGAAACCTGACCTGGTCATTGACCCGGTCAAATGATCAGGTCACGGGTCAGATGAGTTGATCCGGGTTAACTTGGATCAACAAAAAAAAAATATTTTTTTGTGTTCTTGATACCTAATAACAAGAATAATTGGCGGTTTCGAATTTGCAATAGCCATTGGCTACCCTTCCTGCCCTGGGAGTCGTAAAATCGTAAGTTTTTACGAGTTGATATAGGCTTTACGGGTCAAATCGCTTGTAAAACTCGAAAATAAGTAAAATTGGGGCAAAATCGGATAAAATCATTAAAATCGGGTGAAATTGCATAAAATCATGATTTAACGATTTTACCCGCAAGAAAAAAAAAGGCCATGAATCTGTCAGGTATCGACCACCTATTGGCGTTAACTGAAATCCCTAAATTGAAATCCCTAAATTCCAGTCGTCCTTAAACTGAGGATTCCTTAGTGACTCAGTCTCTAGTTGACGATACTTCAGAAGATTACTTAAAAGCCCGTTGTCATAACTGATGGGAGAGAAATACATAGTTTGCTTACAAGAGATGAGCAATTGAGCATAGCTTGTCATGTCTGCACCGTGTGGAGCCCAAGCGACTTGGCCCCCGCAGAACAAAGACTTTTATTAACCAATAAGCAAAACATAGTCACGTTCCTTCTCTGAAACTGCAATTGCAATTTCGGTATCATTGTACCTTGTTCTTTTTTAAATATTTTTAAAATTGCTTTTTACCTTTAAAAAATATTAATAGATAATCTTAATGTATACTCCACAACAGCCCTAGCCCCTCATCGACAACGTTTTTTTCACTAATCACCGTGAGAACCAGAGTCTACTCAATAATAACGGCATCTCTCCAATCCCTACCAGGTAAGTTACTCTGTTTATCTTGTTTCTCTGGTTCTCTCTTCTCTGTTGGTAACTACCAGCAGCTAGAGGTGCTTTTTTTCCCCTGTCCATTTCTTACTCTAATGCATTAATGCTAATATTTGTTTGATTGGATTTGCAGGCTCTAAGTTTGACTGCAATATTGATCTCCTCAGTGCTCACTGCTCAGAACAGAGGTAAGAGTCTCTTACCATGTCCATTTCTTACCTTGTTTGTAATCTGTTGTGACTGTTGGTTAGGACCATTAGGTGCTTTAATCTTTACAGTTTAATGATGTTAAAGATTGAGATTTTGATTTAAAGTTTCTATGACTTTTTATTATTGAGATATTGCTTGTGAATTTTAAATTCAAGTTTAACTATGCGGTGTGTGTGTGAGTCTGTGACTCTGTTCTTTCATATAAATCAATTGTCTCTATTTCGTGATCTGAACAAGTTAGAGTCAGGTTAGTAATCCATGTGCAATTTCATTAGTCCTTGTTAGTTAGGTGTAATCCATGTGTTGATTTTGTTAGAAACCTTAGTTTAGTAGTTTTGGTTCAGTTACCAAGCAATCTGTTTAGTCCTTGTTAGTTGTTAGTTGTTACCTCATCTGCAAAGCTGCAATGCCTATGATTGGCTAGTGAATTGAGCTATGAAACCTGTGATTATGTTGAAAATGCATGTTTCTTCTATGTGCCTATGCACCGGCACCCAACATGCATTTGCTATTATATATTGGGTGTTTAATGTTTCAATTTCTTGCCTTTTCCTGGCTTTTATTTCTATTTTTTTTTGAAGCTGTAACGGTTACCTTATATGCGTAAAATGTTTGGATTGATTACAGAGTTGATTTGAATTGATTCTTGAAGTGTTGAACTTATGACATCTAGGAAAATTTTTTCTAGTAATAGGCTTGACATGGGATGGAAACATGGTATAGATATTGATAAGAATTTTAGAAAAGTTCAGTGTAAGTATTGTCAAAAAATTATCAGTGGAGGTATTTTTCGTTTTAAACAGCATTTGGCTTGCACTCGTAAGGATGTTGAACCATGTCAACAAGTACCAGAAAATGTTAAGCAGATGATTTTAGGTGTTTTGGTGAAAAATCTAGAAGCAACTAAAAAGAAAAGAAAGGCCCATCAATATAGTGTAAATGATGATGATGATGATGATGAAATAAAAGAAATTAGCTCCAAGGACAAAGGAAAGAGAGTAGCTAGTGGGAGTGGAAGTACACAAACAACTCTAAATCAATTGCTAAAAAAAGATATTAGAGAAGAAGCATGTCGACAAATTGCAAGGTTTTTTTACACTAGTGCAATTCCATTTAATTGTGTAAAAAACCCTGAGTTTCTTAAAGCACTTGAATTGGTTGCAAAGCATGGGCCAGGTTTCAAGCCTCCATCCTACCATGATATTAGAGAGAAGTATTTGAAGCAAGAAGTTGACCAAACAATGAATTTGCTTGAGGATTATAAGCTAGAATGGAAAAAAATTGGTTGTTCAATAATGTCTGATGGATGGACAGATAAAAAAAGACGTTGTATTTGTAATTTTTTGGTTAATAGTCCTAAAGGGACAGTTTTTTTGTCATCGGTGGATACTTCTAATATGTCCAAAACTGCTGATAAGGTATTTGAGATGTTAGATGCCATTGTGGAAAGGATTGGGGAGGAAAACGTTGTCCAAGTAGTCACCGATAATGCTGCAAATTATAAGGCAGCGGGACAATTATTGATGGAAAAAAGAAAGAGTTTGTTTTGGACACCATGTGCTGCCCATTGTATTGACTTGATATTAGAGGATTTTGAGAAAAAGTTAGAGATTCATCAAGTAACTATTGCTAAGGGGAGGAGAATCACTTCATATATTTATTCAAGAACTATTCTTATTTCCATGCTAAGACACTTTACGAAAGGAAGGGATTTGATTAGGCCTGCTGCCACACGGTTTGCTACTGCATATTTAACTTTGGGATGTTTGAATGATCATAAAATACAGTTGATGACTATGTTTACTTCCAATCAGTGGAGTTCATGTAGGTTTGCAAGAATAGAAGAAGGGAAACGAATTCAAAATTGTGTTTTGGACAGCAGGTTTTGGCATGATGTTACTATATGTATTAAGGCAGCGTATCCTCTAATTAAAGTTCTTCGATTAGTTGATTCTGATAAGAAACCAGCTATGGGTTTTATATATAAAGCAATGGATGAAGCAAAAGAGAAGATACAAGTGAATTTTGGTTCTGTGAAGAAAAGGTATATATCTTGCTAATTTCTATTTTAAATGTTGTCATCTATTAATATGAATGTCTTTAGAGATACTTTCAATTGAGATATTCCTTAAGTGTAATGATATTTTTATTTTTTTTATATAGTTATATACCTATATGGAATATTGTTAATGCAAGATAGAAACTTCAACTCCACAGACCCTTACATGCAGCAACTTATTATTTGAATCCTCATTATCATTATAATCCCAATTTATGCCAACATTAAAATTGGATTATATCAATGCTTAGAAAGGATGGTGCCTAATGCAAGTGAAATGTGCAAAATTGACTTACAACTTGAATCATTCAAAGATGCAAAAGGGTTGTTTGGCATTGAGACTGCCAAGACAACAAGAGATAAAAAAAACTCCAGCTCAATGGTGGGATTCTTATGGAGATGAATGTCCAGAATTACAAAGGTTTACAATCCAAGTTTTAAGCTTGACTTGTACTTTATCTGGATGTGAGCGTAATTGAAGTGCATTTGAAATGGTGAGTTTTTTTTGTTTTTTATTTTAAATGTTGAAATATTTGATAAAAATCTTATAAATTTGAATTGAATTATTTATTTAGGTTCATACAAAACGAAGAAATCGTTTGCACCAGAGAAAAATGAATGACTTGGTATTTGTAATGTGCAATCTGAAATTGAATAATAATTAAGTAAAAAAGCAAGCAGATGATTTTGGTGTAGAAGATGGTCTTTCATCTGATGATGATTGGATAACCGAGGGAGAAAAACATTTAAACATTGATTTGCTTAGTGCTATTGACAATGCAACACGAAGAAAAAATGGTAATGAAAATGAAAGTGATGAAAAAGAAATTCTTAATGATGTTGAAATAGAGAGTCATGGTACTGAAGATGATTTGGAGATTCAAATTGATGATATTGGTGTTGATACTAGTAGTAGCACTAATGATCATAATATTGGTGTTGTTATTAGTAGTGATACTAATAATCCTCTTGATGCTAATGATATTGATGAATGTCTGAGGAATAACGAGGAAGATGAAGGCAATGAAGCTGGTTTTAGTTTACATGACACACCAGCAGATTATTTGTTTTAAGTTTGTTAATTATTAGCTAATGAATAGTTATTTAAATTATGTATGAATTTTTATTTGAACAATGTATTTTAAGGTGTTTGAATTATATATGGATTTTTATTTGAAGTATGTATTAACCATACATTATGGATTTTTATTTGAACCATGTATTAACCATGTATTTTAAGGTGCTTAAACTATGTATGGATTTTTATTTAAAGCATATATTTTAAGGTGCTATGAATTTTTATTTGAAACATAATTTATTTTAAATTTATTTTAAAATTCCTTATGATTTTATGATTTTACGATCCGAGTTTAGTTTAAATATTCCATGCCGTGTCAAAATCACGATTTTGACAACCTTGATTGTAAACTTACAATATCATCCATCACGACAGCTTAATTATTTTATCTACACACAAATTGAAATTCATCCTGGAAATTATAAATGATCCCTACTACAAAAACAAAAATAAAATTAATACACAAAATTGGTTGTTAAGAGAAAAAATTACAAAAAAAAAATAAAATAAAAATATATTAATCATTCGCTGCCTCTCACAATGGATGAAGATTCCTTTCCACCCCATTAACATTATACAAAAACCCCACCAAATCAGGTTTGTAAGGCAAATAGGAGCGGCGTTTATGTCCTTCTTTACTCCTCACATAATAATGTTCTTGAAATTGAAACAAACCTCTTCCAACTCCTTTTGCTTCTTTCCTTTTCTCTATGCCTTGTTTATTATGATTCCTATCTTGGTCATCGCTGCCTAATCTCTGATGATGGAGGCCACTTTTCTTGTTATTAGGCATCAAGAACACAAAAGTATCCTTACCATCACTATTACTCTGGTGAATAAAATCTTTGAACTTCTATTGGACCCTGTAGAGCTGCTCTTCTTGCAACTCCCTGGAGACCCCTCCTCCTTCTTTGGCGTCCACACACAATAAGTTTCAGGCTCTAGGCTGTCAATATCATCAGCTTCCGATGAAGAACACAAAAAGATTTCACGGTCCTCATAGAAGAGCTTCCTGAGGGGTAATCTATTTGGTTTCTTGCCATCTTAGGTACTATTAGTTGCAGTTTTCGATCTGGGTAGGGATTTTTGGTTGTCTAAGAGTAACCATAGTTTCTATCACGCTGCGTTCAATTACCTCCTCCCTGAATATTTAATTTTATCCGTCAAAGCCATCTCTCCTCGTCTCTCTCTCACTATAGTTAATTGACTAAGTCTCATTTAGGTTTGACTTGGTAGACTGGGTCCCGGGTCCACCCTCCAAGTCAACCGGGTTTCTCTGGGTCAATTCCCAAATAAGTTTTTGCCTTCACCCGAACTGGTCCCAAGCCCGGGTCAGACG